ATAAATATGTGGAGCTGAGTCAGCAAAACCTTGTGGATCTGGTGGTACTCATTATCATGCACGCAGCAGGGGAGAGAGAGAAGAAGGAGAAAGAAGATCTTATCCATTAACATTGGCTCTATCTGTCGAAGTAGTCAAAATGAAGATTATGTGTGTGTGTTATAGGCAATATTTCAGTCGTGGATGAAAAGAAACTGCAAAAGCAATATAAATTCATGTATGACTATGATTGTGATTAGACATAACTCATTTTAAGTTGTTCTTAAGCTACTAAACATCTGATTATGATTGTGAATCATATTCAGTCGTATAATCTAATCCACTAAACGAGCAGGGATTGATTAGAAATGAAACTTGAATGCATAACTATGTTAGGGTAAATGAATTTAGGCCGCTCATTTTCTTTGCACTTCATAATCAGGGAGTACTGTATTGGAGATATTATTCGATCGAAAGGTACAACTTTGGGTTACAGCTAGAAGGATGTGACTCGTATATAATTGCATGAGGTATATGTTTGGCATGAAAAATATGATTTTGTTGGTGAACCATCGTATCTTTTTGCGTTTTGTCAATTTGGCCATAAAATACAAGGGAACAACAACAAACACTAGCCAACCCCACAAGAGAACTGAAAATGAAAAACCAAAAGGTGGTGGGGAACTGATGATCACATATCAAGACCGAATTAGGTTAACTTAGGAGGAACAAGTTGGCTTCCAAATGTGGAGCACCCTAATTATGTTTTTGCAAGCCCCCTAATTATAAATTAAGCGTGCATGAATGTCCAAGGTCATTTTAAACCCAATTCATGATAGAGTTTGGGGCCAATGGGTGATGGGATTGATTGAAGCTTCTTGCATATATATACAACCAAGGGGGTATAGGGTGATGATGGGATCATTTTCCATCACTACAATGTCAATTTATGTATATTTCGATACATTTAATAGAAGAATCAAGTTATAAAATAGATTATTTATTCAATATGTCGTCGATGTAATCATTGTCACTAATAAATAGTACTACATATTATCGATACAGTTTTTTTTATTATAGTAAATGTAAAGAACATACATTCTGCATGGAGAAATTTTTAACTTTTTTTAGCACAAGCGATTGGGGAAAGCAGTTTACACTAATATTAATTGGGTGTCTAGGGGTTTCGAACCTCTATCCACATAAATGAAGGTGTAAGAGCTTAATCAACTGAGCTATACCCCACTCCATGCACATAGAATTTTTGTTCATATAAATTACAGGTATTTGCTCATGTGATACTATATATGAGAGGCCCAAGACCAAAGCAAACCTGGGTCGATCGGTCCTTGAGCAAGCCTTCAAGCTGCATATATCTCCCAAGGTCTATTTTTTCAGTTCAGCCTCTCTGAATAATAAGGGATTGTTGCTATTTTGAGCCCATGAAAAGAGTCATACGGCCTTTTGTCCCTCTCTATCCGATTGTGGGAAGCTTCTATAATGAGGACCTATGTTGAGGGGTTACAACAAGGAAGTTCAATCCAACAGTCCAATAATAACTCTACATTGGATTCTTAAGACCCTCTCATTATAACCTCTCACAATAACCTCTCATTCTAACCTCAATGTACAATTGTATTGCGTCTATGGCCACCTACTGCAGTCTGTGTATACATAACAAGTTAACCACTTATGATGTAGCTCTATAAATAGAATATTTTAAAGGTATAATCAAGCGGTTATATTCTTTAAATAGCATAATTCGGATTTCTCTTTTTTAATTACTTTAATTAATTGTTATGTTTTAATTATTATTCTCTAGGTAAATAATAATTAAAGAATAAGTACTAATTAAAGCAATTAAAAAAAGAGAAAACCACATTATGATATTTATAGGGAATAGGCCTGGAAATAAAGCCCAGGCCCGATGGGCTAGCCCGAACCCGGCCCGATTTTTTGATGTGTGGGCTTATCCGGCCCGACCTAATGGGCGGGCTTAGCCCGGCCCGAAGTCTAATATATAGGGCTTGGGCCTTATTTATAAGCCCTTTAAAAGCCCGGCCCGGCCCGATTATAATTAATTATTTAATTTATTTAATTTTAATTATATTATATGTATTATTGCATTGTGTGGCATAGTGTATTTTTATATTTATATTCCTTTGTTGAAAGTTGAAATGAACAATACTTTTACTCATTCCAGAGGCAGACAACGGAGAGTGGGCAGCTGTAGCCTGTAGATAAGGAAGTGATATTTTGTCTTAAAGTAACTTTGTTTTGAACGAAAGAAAGTTGCTTTACCAACTTTTCTTTGTTGAAAGTTGAAATGAACAAGACTTTTACTCATTCCAAAGGCAGACAACGGAGAGTGGGCAACTGTAGATAAGGAAGTGCAAATGAGTTTTTCTACCCAGAAGACAGAATGCGTGCGTGCACACGATATTCAAAAAATTTCCAGGTAAAATGAAGACAGAAGATAGAAGGCCGTTGTGTAGTCTCCATCCATCAACATAAATAAACTACTGCAGTTCCTTTCTTCTCTCACACTTCTGGAGTTAAATCATCTCAGCAGCAGCTTTGCTCTCAAATTGCTTTCAACTTCGAGCTTGTGTTCCTCAAGTTTGCGGTATTTTATATACAATTTATTAAAGCATATTAGTTGATTTTCCTTTGGTATATTGATCTTTGTTTAAATATCTGCTTTCAACTTGTGCTTGTGTTGTTTGAATTTCCTTGTTAATTAGAAAATTTAAAATGGACTCTACTCAAAGTCAACCTATTGAGATCCCTGTTGTTGCTGACCCCTCTCAAGCTATTCCCTCTAGTAAAAAACATAAACAAACTTCTGATGCATGGTTACATTTTAAGAAAATTGAAACTGAAAAAGATGGTAAAAAAGAAATAAAAGTCGAATGCAATTATTGTAAAAAGACTCTGTGAAATTCTTTATGAGGGAAATGCAAATACAATTGTGGAAAAAGTGCTCACAACATTAAAAGAGTTATATGAAGAATATAAATTATATTTGTCTTTGCATGATAGTAGATCACAACATGAACAAGCGGCACCTACATCATCTACATCTTGCACTTCAACATTTAGTAGAAAAAGAAGTCGTGTGGATGACCTTTGTGATTCTAAAAGGTTAAACACAAGCAATTTTTCATCTAATGAATTATCACGCTATCTTGATTCACACACAGAAAAGGATGATGATGAAAATAATCCTTTAAATATTTTGGTATGGTGGAAATCATAGCAAAAAAATTACCCTGTGCTTTCCACCATAGCCCGTGATATTTTAACCATTCCAGTGTCTTCAGTTGCTTCTGAATCAGCTTTTAGCAAAGGTGGACGTGTTATAAGTGACCATCGAGCAAGTTTGGCTCCAAATAGTGTTGAAGCGTGCATTTGTGGAAGTGATTGGATTAAACAAGAAAAAAAGAAAGTCAAGAAGAAAATGATTGTACAAGATGAACAAGAATTGCCGGAGTGGTTTGTCCAAGATGTAGAATAAATATTCTCATTTTTATTGTTTTGTAGTCAACTTCAGTTTTGTAGTCTATTTCAATTTTCAATGTATTGTTGTTATTATATAATTATGGATGAAGTTTTCAAACATAAAAAAACAAATGAAGTTGAATCAAGCATAAAATAATGGCCCATTTCATAGGGCTAAATAAGCACGAATCATTAGCCCGATCATAAGCCCGAAAATATTAAGCCCATGGGTAGGGCCTGGGCTTTGTATATTTGACATAGGGCTGGCCCGGCCCGGCCTGATTACTCATTAGGGCTAAAAAGGCCCGTTACTAATTAGGGCCTGGGCTCACACCTCTTAGGGCCGGGCTGGCCCGGCCCGGCCCGGCCCATTTTCCAGGCCTAGGGAATAGCCGCCCGGCAAGCAATTTACAGAGTCTAGCCGGACGGCTATACTTTCGTAAAATTCTGCTTACAAAATACAGCCGCGCGTCTGTACTATTGAAATATTCTATTTGTAGAGTATAGCCATCCGGCTATACTGTTTAAACATTCTATTTATGGAGTATAGCCTCACGGCTATACTTTTGAAATATTCTATACTTTAAAGATATTTTCCACATTGAACCGACAATAAAAATATGGATTTATATTTCCCGGATTAGACCTTTTCCGAAGAAATTTCATCAGAAGAGTTTTCTTTTAAAAATAAATATAAACTTAGTATCCTTATACCAATATTTTTTTTTATAAAAAAACTTTATTTTTATTAATTAAATCATATCTTAGCCTTATTTAATTACTTTCATTAGTTATTATATTTTAATTATTATTTATTTAATGAATAATTAGTACTTAATATTTTAATTAACTTCACAAATTATATTACTTAACACATAGTGTTTAATTTTTTTAAATATTTACAAACTAATTATTCTCTAGTTAAATAATAATTAAATATCCGTGGCAAATGAACATACGCCACTCAGCCAAATACTCGTGGTATGAGCATCAAGAAAGAGGACAGGAGCCCATGTTGAGCGCTTGGATCAGAGTACGGAAGTCCAAAACACTAGAAGGCATATAATTGAGCAAATAAATATCCGTGACTTTGATGTGATCTTGGCTCCACATGTGTGCAACTATGTAATAGCCCCATATGAAAGGGCGTGTTGTTGAAGAATATAAGTCCTATAAATATTCCCACCAAATCTAACCTGTAATTACCCATCTATAAAAATAAATAAATAAACACCGACGGTGCTTGTGTGAAAAATATGAACTAACTAATTAATCATGTCATTTTAATGCTACAGCACTAACTTAAATCCCAACTTTTAGATATGAACACATGTGGCAACCATTTTGCCTGTGAACTTTATGCCGTCCCCTCAACTGAAAAATGTGAGAGTTTTTCTTTGATCCAATTAGAATTAGCTTCCCAACAAAAAATTGTTCTCTGGACCACTACTTTTGTTAGATTAAAGTTAAACAAATAAAATGCAACACTAAAGGTTTCTTTAAATAAAGCAAAAGAAATGTCAGGTTGATTCTTTTGCATAATCTAGTACATGTAGAAATAGCCGAAAATTCTAAAAATTGATAGCTTTCATTGACCGATGCTAATATCTAATAATGCAAAGCAACCACACAGGGAAGCAAATTATTCTTACAATACAGCAGACTAATGTTTACAATGTAAGAACTACAGGCTGGGGCACTGAAAAACGCTTCAAGCCTGCATCTAATCTGTATTTGTTAGAGAGGATAGAAATTCAGAAACAAGTAGACCAAACGTGAAAATACATCAATAAACAAAATTATGACTGTTTCCTTTTTCTGTCCAGATAAAAGTAGCTACGCTGAAAGCTCAAGATCGCCCAAGCGAAATGCCGGAAACCAATCTCTGGCCAGAGCACAGACGGAGAGTACAAATAACAGTGTGCACTCTGCCACAAAAGAAAATTGCTCAACCGGGTTTCGCCAGAAGTACGGATTAGAATATCAGGGTCAGGTGCAACAGCCATGTACATATGCTTTTCAATATCTGTCAATTTTACAATGTTCTCCCTTTCTTCCTTTTCATTCCCTCCAAGTTGAAGTAGACCATACCCAGCTCCACTTGCATTCATCACACTGATTTCATCTGATTTTTCTTCGCACGATTCTTGAACAGCATGCACAATCTCATCAGTGGAAGTGTAGGCAATACATATTGACAGAACTCCTCTGGAGTTGTTGGCAGTGGCCTCCATAGCCCTCTCAGCTGCCAACCTAACAGGTTCACTCAAGAGTTTTAGGTTCCCTATAAAGTGTACCTTAATTCCATAGCGGTTAACTATGCTTTCTTCCTTGATTAACCCTTCAATTTTCTCCTGTATCAGGTCCATCAAGGATTGAACTTCTTCAGGGTCCATTTTGAAATTATCAATACTAAAGGCATATATAGTCACATATCTAACTCCCAACTCATAACAATACTTGAGCATGGACATCAGAGCCAAAAACCCAACCCTATGTCCATCCCCTTCCTTCAACTTACGCTTTTTAGCATATCTTCTATTTCCATCCATGATGAATGCAATGTGATGAGGTATAGGACGAACAGAAATTACAAGAAAAAGACATCTCCTCAAGAAACTAACTATGCTCCAAAAAATCTGGGTTGCTTTATTGCCATTGCTTTTTTCCATCCTAGAACCATGTACAACTGCCGAGTTCTGCTAAAACCTATTTGACCTGTTAATTAATAAACAAACTTTAGTTCAAACTCCTGAAGTTAAAACATGGAACCACTGAAAAATCATGCCTTAAAATGTAGTTCAGCCTATTAACCTATAACCACAATCATATAAAGATTGAGTTCCAGCATAGTATGCTTAACAGCAGGTGTGGCTTTTCTACTTTTTAGAATGATCTCCATTGACAGAGTTACATTTCCTTCCGTCGAAACCCAACTTAGCATTGTAAAATTTTGATCCAATGCAATAGGAACAACTATGCAAAGGATCAAGACTAAATTTATTATGGTATCACGCATTAACATCTAAAACCAAACCCTCGAAATTGAATAATCACTTGTCTGGCAGATATTAGTCATAAACAAAATGCATACAGTGCACACACGGCAGTTCGAAAATTACAACAAAAAAAGAAGGCAAATAGTCAAGAAACCAATGCTTGAATATTAGAAAATCACAATACTTTGGTGCTTTTTAACCGTGGTAAATCAAGATTCAGAAATAATCACACCACAATGCAAACAACACTTGAGCAGAATAAAATAAACCAAGGAATAAAGATAGTGCACAAGAGATTTATGAGGTTTGGCAAAATCCTGCCTACGTGACTACATTACTATGAGAACAATAACCGTACAAGACACACTTAGAGTTAAATCAACATAACCCAAACCATAACCTGTGCGGCTCACAGTATTTCCCAAGAGTTCCTTTTCTCTCAAACACCCATGTTTCAACTATTACATGCACTCATCCAATGAATCACATTCTACCCATTAATAGGCAGTTGGTTCAATGTGAAAAACAAAGCTTTTACAATTATCTTCAATTTTTCAACCACCATTTCATGCAACATGCCTTCCTCTAAAATCCAATCCTCTAGTTAGATCTACAAGGGCATAGGCTGCTGCACCATTTACTACATGGTCCCATTTTTACCAATTTCAATAAACTTGGTCTCATCAAATGAATCACATTCTGCCCATTAATAGGCAGTTGGTTCGATGTGAAAAACAAAGCTTTTACAATTGTCTTCAATTTTTCAACCATCATTTCATGCAACATGGCTTCCTCTAAAAGCCAATCCTCTAGTTAGATCTACAAGGACATAGGATGCTGCACCATTTACTACATGGTCCCATTTTTACCAATTTCAATAAACTTGGTATTGTGAACATCAAAAAGACATTGACAGTTACCTAAATTTGTACAAGTAGAACAATACATTGAACATCTTGTTGTGTTACTTGTGTATTCTATCTCATGCATATAGTCAATTTGGCGTATAGGCTTCTATGACCAAAATGGTAAAACCAATCAGAATAAACGACCGCGTTTAATATGCTTAGAGCTGTAACTACTGATTACAAGCCGCAAACATATAAAAAGAAAGCAAAGTTCTGAATTTGAGATAAATTGGAAATGACAGAAACCAAATAGCCTCCCTCCACTGAACCCAAGATACAAACTTTTCTGGTTACCAGGAAGGAAGGTCCCATCTTTTAGACGAAAGTTGATTTATTTTTCCTTTTCGATTTCTCGGAGACCAAACAGAGGCTTGGAAAATCAGAGAGAGAGAGAGAGAGAGAGAGAGAGAGTTACCAGTTAACCAAATGCAGAGTAGGATCAAAATAGCAGCAGGGGAGGGAAGGGAAGTAGAGTAGACCAGTCCCAGTGTAAGAGCGAGAGAGTTGATTTGGCTCCTTCGGGCCCCCCTTTGAAGTTGGAATTTGCACACGTTTACCGACAGTTCTTCCCGTGTTCCTTCAGTGTGGCTATTTTGCAATTTTGCAACTGAAGGACCAATGAGAATAAGACAACAGACTATTGAGGCCAACTCGTGAATACACCAAAATAGGGCAAACACACACAACAAACGACCTTGGGGTCAAACTATGAATAACGGTAAATAGATAATGTCGCTTTTAGTCTACACATTACAGAAACAGCGGGGGTAGTTTTGGATCTTCGCATCTCATTTCCTCTGCGTTTTCACGTGTGGTTTTCAGATTTATTTTTTTTCACACGTGTGTTTCCTTCTTCTTCCTTCTTGATTTATCCGAAATTGCGGCAAGTTGACTGTGGAGCTTAGGAGTGGCTTAGGAGTAAGCTCCTGAGCTCCCAATTTTGGTGGCAGAAATGAAATCTGTTCATTTCTCACACTTCTCACCTCCAATTTGTGCCTCCAACCCTAATAATCATACTTCATCATCATCTCTTTCTTCTTCTTCAATCACTCTTCTCCAGCGCTGTAAATTCAGCTCTGTTTCTCTCACCTCCACTTCCAGGCCCTCCCGCTCAATCACGCTTTGTGCTCCCAATTCCACCAAAGCGACGTCATCGTCATTGTCCCAGTTCGAATTGGCAGCAGCAGAGGGCATAAAGGAGGCTTCTTTTCAGGTTCAAAACGACACTTTGCAAAGTCCATGGAATGTGGAAGTCGAAAAACCTAGCGTTCCGTCTTCGTCGGTGGCCAAATTGAGCTTGAGCGACCAGGCTTTCTTCCTCTTGGCCTTCGTCGCCTGCACGGTATATAAGCCTCAGTTCTTTTTTTCTTTGCTAATATAGTTTAATATGTAATTTGTTGTGGAAACGGGGATCAATTTGGAAACTTTTTTACATAAATGGAAATGATAAGATGTAGTTAATTATGTGCATACACTGCTGATTTGTCTTGTACTGTTATTGTTCTCATAGTAATGTAGTCACGTAGGCAGGATTTTGCCAAACCTCAAAAATAACTATGTACATATTTATATTCATTTCCCAATTAGGTCCTTAAACATAATAAAGCTCATAATCTAAGAGTGAGAGACATGTATTAAAATAAGGTCCTTACACATGTATAGCTTAATAAATTGTTGTCAAAGTCAATATTCTCTTCAACTTGTATTCTTCTAAATTATAAGAACAAAACAGTGTATGAGTTAAAAGCTGTATATATACATCCTCAAGTGGCAGAACCCAAATTCATAATTCTCTACAGATTCAAATAGAGCATCCCTCTGTATAGTTCATTTTCATGATTAGTTTTGGTTCATGGAAACACAAGTGGCAGCAGCATTGTTTAAAAAGGCAGTTTGATTTCATAACACAAGGCAAATATTAGCAAATGAAGACCCTGAAATCTGACCAGAAGTGTATACAAACAAGAACTCTTCGTTATAACATGAATTTGGCAGATGAAAACAATTAAAAACAGAGGAAATTTATCCACAAAAAACAATTAAAAAATCTGCAGAATTTCAGCAGAACATCAAAATCTGAGAGAGAGAGAGAGAGAGAGAGAGAGAGAGAGAGAGAGAGAGAAAGAGAGAGAGAAATGAAGAATACCTCAAAGAGTGGCAGAACTGATGCTGGAAGCTGCAACCTGCTCCAGAAATTTCCTGCTAATCTGCATGAACTGCTGCTAATCAAACCTAAATCAATTTGATAAATTTCTAGCGCTGTCATTTTATTTTAATCAAACCTCAATCAATTTGATAAATTTCTAGGGCTGCCATTTTATTTTAATCAAACCTCAATCAATTTGAATCAATTTGATAAATTACTAGGGCTGCCATTTTATTTTAATCAAACCTATATCAATTTGAAAAACACCCTAAATCAATTTGAATCACAACCCAAAATCAATTTGAAAAACACCCTGCGCAAACAACAGACAATAACAAAGCTAAGAACCACAAGCCAGCTAGGTGAAGAAATAATCTAAACTTGACAGCATAACAAAGATTCGAAGGGGGAAAAGAAAAAAAAAATCTGCGAATTGCGAATCATACCCTGACAGAGAGAAAGACAGCTACATAAAATGAAGATGTGGCTGCGAACTGCTGTGCTGAATCTGCGAATTGCAGACAGATAGAGTTAGTCAGAGATTAGAAGGGGGAACAGAAAAGAAAAAGAAAAAGAAAAAAAAAAAAGAGGGAGACAATCTGACCTGTGATGGCGGCGACTGAGAGAGGTGGCGCTTTAGAGAGAAACGGAGGCTGAGAGAGGCGCTGTTGACAGAGAGGTTTGCCGGAGATGAGGTTTTGCGCAGAGAGGATTGGCGCAGACAGCCTCTGTCAGAGAGAGAGAGAGAGAGAGAGAGAGAGGAAGGCTGAGGGAGAAGAGGTTTGGCTGAGAGATCTGTCAAAGAGGTTTCGGCGCGGCTGAAGGGGGGAGGAACGAAATTGGAGGGAGGAAAGACGGGAAAAACCAAAAAACTAATCGCTGAAAACCTAATCGGCTGAAGGAAAAACCTTCTTCGTTTGGATGAAGGAATTGCCAATCACATAGAATTCTAAAATGACGGAATTTAGATTTCCGTCATTTCAATTTCTGGCAATTGAAGATTTCAATGTTTGAATTTATGTATGTCGGATTTTGTAAATGACGAAAATTGAAAATATTCAATGTTTGGATATCTCATGTAAATTATAAATGACATAAATTAAATATTTTGAAAGAAAAAAAAAAAACTGATAACCGACATAGAAGGTATTCCTCGAAGTATAAAATAACATATCGTTTGATGAACTAAATAACTCAACTTAAACAAACAGAGCATATTAGCAAACCAAATCACTCCCCACGTGCAATAAGCATCAGCAACATACTCTCTCTTTTTTTTCTCAATTGGGAGTGCCTTCAGCATATGAAATTATTTGTCATTTTCTATCGGCCAGGCTCATGCTTTGAGTTGTTCATTTTCACTAAGACCTGGTACTGCTTGTACTTCAACATATACCTCTGCTGGATCAAGGTTCTTAGTATCAGCACGGATAAACTCTTCAAATGATAAAGCCATTCTAGCAATCAAATCAGCAATAACATCTTTGACAGCAGCTCTTTTCTTTGTAGGAAGAATATCAGAAGAATTTGGTGCATGATTTCTTCTCTTTTGACCATTTGTTGATGTTGGTGAAATATCATCAATAACATGAATATCTTCTAAATCTTGTGTATCACCATCCAAATCAACATAATCAACTTCATCATTAGAATTTGATACACAAGGTATTGCTGAATTAATATCATCAATCAGCTTTAATTCAATATTTTCATGTGCAAACACTTCTCTGGTACCTATGGAATTAGAACTAGAAGCAATCAAGACCCTGATACTTCTTTTTCACTTGCCAAAAGACCAATGACCAAAGAAATTAAAAGGGCTTCGATTAAAAAGTTGCAGACAAAAGTATAGGAATAAACGATTAAGATTATGAGGGTATTAATGACTTGTTTTAGATGAAGCTAACAACTACAGAGCAAGGCGATAACACAAAGTGATAAAGCTAGCAAACAACTACATAGTGATTAATGACTTTTTTTTTATGAAAGGTTTGGCTTTTTTTATTTATTTAAGTTTTGGCTCCATGGAAAATATGAATTCCCGCACTATGGAAATTGTGAAATGACATCTATTTTTGTGAAAATTAAACTCAGGAATTTGATGACTCAATTTCCATGATTTTTTCCGCGCGTCATTTAATAAATTCCGCGCTTAAGTTGCCAAACAAGGGACTTGTCAATTTCTTCTCTTAAATTCCTGACTTTTAGCTAAATTCCGAGTTATTTTCCCGCATCCAAACGGAGGGTACAAGTTTTGTGCTGATCATGTGCATTCACTCCTATGGTAACACCATATACAACCAATAACAAGAGCCATGTGTAAAAAAATATATTATAAATATATATAATAAAATATATATATATATATATATATATATATATAAATTAATTATGCTGGACTGGTTATGTGTGTTGAAAAACCAGAACCGGAACCCGTCTAAACCAGTTTGGTTTGGATTTTTTTCTAGTTTTTGACTTTTTCAGTCAACACGGTTTTGTTTTGAATTTTTTCGATTCAATTCGGTTCGGTTTTGTGGTTTTGAGGTTCCAATGCCCACCCCTAAGAAGAAGAAGAAGATCTTATCCATTAACATTGGCTTTCTCTGTCGAAGTAGTCAAAATGAAGATTATGTGTGTGTGTTAGTCAATATTTCAGTCGCTGATGATAAAACACTGAAAAAGCAATATAAATTCATGCATAACTATGATTGTGATTAGACATAACTTATTTTAAGTTGTTTTTAAGCTACTAAACATCTGATTATGATTGTGAATCATATTCAGTTGTATAATCTAATCCACTAAAAGGGGCGAGCTTGATTAGAAATGGAACTTGAATGCATAACTACTGTATTGGAGATATTATTCGATTTTAGTGGGTGAGCTTGATTAGAAATGGAACTTGAATGCATAACTACTGTATTGGAGATATTATTCGATCCAAAGGTACAACTTTGGGTTACAGCTAGAAGGGTGTGACTCATATATCATTGTAGGAGGCAGGGACGAATCCAGCTATTGGGCTGTATGGGCTATAGCCCATGCCTTTTTTGTAGTTTTCAAGATCCATGTAGTCACTCTCTCTAGCACATGCATTTAAAAAAAAAAAAATTCAATACCTATGTTCTCTCTTTTTCGTATTTTCTTCATTTCTGTCTTGCTTTCTTCTTTTCCACCTTTCTCTCTTCTTCCTATTTCTTTTTGTTTTCCCACCTTTCTCTTTTTTTTTCCTTTGTTTCTCAATTTTTTTTATGGTTTGGATCTACTACGAATTGAGCTTTTTCCACAGTTTCTTCTTTCTATATTTGTTTTTTGCTTTTCTCCTGTTTTTTTTCCCTTCGTTTCTCCTTTTTTATTCTACGTATCTCTTTTTTTCTCTCACATGTGTTGTAAAGTCCAACTTGGTGCAATATGGCCCTTACTGTTGAAATTTCCTGTGTACGTAAGGTAAATTTAGCCCATGGAACTTTGGGTTACAGCTAGAAGGGTGTGACTCGTATATCATTGTAGGAGGTATATGCTTGGCATGAAAAATATGATTTTGTTGGTGAACCATCGTATCTTTTTGCGTTTTGTCATTTTGGCCATAAAATACAAGGGAACAACAACAAACACCAGCCAACCCCATAAGAGAACTGAAAAGAAAAACCAAAAGGTGGTGGGGAACTGATGATCACAAATCAAGACCAGGGTTTGGTTAACTTAGGAGGAACAAGTTGGCTTCCAAATGTGGAGCACCCTAATTATGTTTTTGCAAGCCCCCTAATTATAAATTAAGCGTGCATGAATGTCCAAGGTCATTTTAAACCCATTTCATGATAGTGTTTGGGGCCAAGGGTGATGGGATTGATTGAAGCTTCTTGCATATACAACCAACCAAGGGGGCATAGGGTGATGATGGGATCATTTTCCATCACTACTATGTCAATTTATGTATATTTCAATACATTTAATCGAAGAATCAAGTTATAAAATAGCTTATTTATTCAATATGTCATCAATGTAATCATTGTAACTAATAAATCGTACTACATACATATTATCGATACATTTTTTTTAATAGTAAATGTAAAGAACATACATTCTGCATGGAGAAATTTTTTACTCTTTTTAGCACAAGCGATTTGAGGAGGGGTTTTACACAAATATTAATTGGGTGTCTAAGGATTTCAAACCTCTACCCACTTAAATGGAGGTGTAAGAGCTCAACTAAAGCTATACTCCACTCCATGCACAGAGAATTTTTGTTCAAATAAATTATGGGTATTTGCTCGTGTGATATTATATATGAGAGGCCCAAGACGAAAGCAACCCTGAGTGGATCGGTCCTTGAGCAAGCCTTCAAGCTGCATCTCTCTACCAAGGTCTATTTTTTCAGTTAAGCCTTTATAAATAATAAGGGATTGTTGCTATTTTGAGCCCATGAAAAGAGTCATACGGCCTTTTTGTCCCTCTCTATATGATTGTGGGAAGCTTTTATAATGAGGAGTTATGTTGAGGGGTTACAATGAGGGGGTTCAATCCAACATTTCAATAATAACTATGCATTGGATCGAACGGCTATTAAAGACCCTCTCATTATAACCTCTCACAATAACCTTTCATTCTAACCTCAGTGTACAATTGTATTGCATCTATGGCCACCTAATTTCTTTGGACACTTATGTCGAAGTCCCAAAATTATAAGATTTATTTACTCACTCGTGTCTATTGTTTGTACCACTTTGCAAAACCCAAGGGAAGGTATCGTATAGTAGTGTAGCTCGGAAGTCCGAGTGTCGTATCCACAGAGAGCAGGGTAAAGAAAATAACAGAGATGAAAAAGAACAGGTGTGATTGAGAGGTAGATTTATGCAAGATTTGATTTAGAGAAAATTTAATTGATTAAAACACTAAGGTATTGGGGTTCCACTTTTAACATAAGCATGCAACTCTTATTAATTTGATCCACATAATATTTTCCATTGTAGTTGTTCAAAATAATTAAAACTCTTTTTAATTTCCTTTAGAAGTATTCTAAGCATAACTTGTACCATTGGCAACAAACTATCAAAAAATAATCTTCATCAAAATTCTAGGAATCTAAGTAATTCTCTTCTCTTTTAAAAGCATAAAAGTTTTTACTACACAATGGGAAAAACATGATTGAACCCATGAAATAGATTATCAAACATTCATCAATTAATTAAAAAGAAAACTACAAATTCCATTTGAACAAAAACTACAAATTCACATTAAAGCTTAAGTTTGGATCAAACTAATAAAAATTACACACTCATATTAAAAGCTTTCCCCCTAGCCTTAGCTAGGGAGTTAGTTCCCCATAAAATAAAACTAAAACAGAAATTTAGAACTAGAAGAATTGGAGGAAGGAGAGAAAGCTCAAGAGTTGTGGAGCTTGGTGTGTGTTGAATGCTGTGGAGGATCTCTCTATTTATAGGAGAAGCTCATGTTGCAACCTTGCAATATGTCTTGAATAAATTATTATCCCATCAGCCATTCCCGCAGCTTTCTTCTTCTTTAATTCTTCAATTGATGCTCCACTTCCATTGTTTATTGCCATCATGATTCCATTTCCTTATCTCATTCCTTTTATTCCTCACTTTCTCATTCTTTATATTTCCTTTTGGTTGGCTGGGCAATACCTAATTTTCCTTTGCTATTCTTTTCCTTTGGTGGCCAACCATCTCTCTCTTTGCATTCCTTTGGCATGTGCAAACCTCCAAAAGGTAGCCTTTCATCATCTTGTTACCAACCCACGTGAATGCCCATGACATGTCTTAATTCAAACCAAGATAGGTAACATGCAAGCCTAAATGGTGATCAATCATTCAAACTAGCATATTAACTTATAAGCATACTGAATAAGAACAAAAATCATAATTGAAACTTGGAAACTAATTAAACTTGAATACTTAAGAAATAATGTACATTACAAATAAAATTAAAGTAGAACTTGAAAACTTGAAGGAAAATTTA